AAGTATACTTAAATGTATATCAATTATACTTTCGTAAACTCTATACAAATTCATTATGCCTAATAACTTATCCACATATAAGTTAGGCTGAGAGCTTTTTCAACTACCTTAGTTAAGGGTTTTTTAGTGAGACTATATTCATTAGATAAGTCTAAACACTTAGTATACCCACACTACTATAACCGTTAATCTTCGGAGTGTGATACATATGTATAGATCTATACGGGGTTGACATCCCCACCTGCGGTTGCTAGCTACAACCTCGATTGATCAATAAAAGCAGGTGATAAGTGTCTACAATCGTTACTGCAACGTCCAATGAAGCGTTGTAGGGGGTACATTCAGTCACATAGCTCGGTTATAGGACTCACTATAAACATTAACTAAAAACTCTCGTTTTCCTACAAACCATGGATTTGGTTGTTTTCAAAACTATCTTTAAGTATGGTTATACTTACAAAGACAATACTTTTTAGACTTGTTAAAGTATATTACTACGGTTAACAGAAAACTTGTAACTCTCACCAACCTTGTGTTGACTTTCAAACTGCATGTATTCTCAGGGAATCAGTGAATTCAAGCATATTCAGACATTGGGAAAATCATGGATGGATTGCAGGCACTTTAAATTTGTAGTTTTTGTTCTATTAAGCCTATCTATTATGGCAATTCATGTATTACTATTATGTGTAAGTACCCTGTATTCAAACTTAAAGATGTAATACAAATGTTGTTTTGTTTATTGTTGTATTTGTGCTATATATTCAGTTTATCTATGATCCATGGACTTAGTCGCACAACCTGACATGTTCCGCCGCCTCGGGCGGGGGTGTGACAGATTGGTATTAGAGCTAAATTGGCTATAGAGAACTCGTATCCTTGAAAGAGGAATACAACTATAACAAATAGCTTCTAATAAAAGTATTATTAATAATAACACTACTTCTGGACTACTTAGGGTACGGGGAAACTGGTTTGAAGGGCTACTTAGGTTGTTGGAGTTCAAAATGGCTTAATTGCTAAAATGGTCCTGCCCTCCGGTGTTTCATGTCTGGCCCTCGTCTATGCTTGGTAGTCTGGAAGTACAAAACAAAAATTAATAATACTACAAACCCCACCAACCATAATATATAAGAGTTTATATATGCTTTGACCCGCGACGAGAACACTTAATAAAAATTCTAAACATCCCTTCAACTAAAACTACCAACTCAACCCTTTAGGTCAGACGCCTCAATTAAGGTTAGTACTGTACATAAGCTATACCACAAATAAACTTGGAATGCGTGCCTATGTTATTTATGGTCGGGCCGATGCACAACCAACCTTGAGCAAGAAGTTTGACAGACTACAATGGTTGAGAGTTTTAGAGATTGAAGAATGTTCTCAAGATCCGTTGCGATACCTAGTACCTTAGAACCTTTTGTATCAACCTTAAAACACTTATGTAATTTTAATACTTATACATTTAAAAACTTACTAACACACTTAAAACCCTTTTATGTAGATGGAAGATTTGCCTGTTGACCATCCCGCTTGGATGAAGATTGCCGACCCTGAGGAGCTACAAGAAGTTTCGATGCACTTGGTTGGGGATCCATACTTTCCCCAAGATGCTCCAACTAATAACCCAAATGAGGATGACCCATCTGAGGATGAAGAGTCTGACGATGATGGCATACTCCAGGATGCCCAAGAGATTGATGACGATGGTCCTATCGAGGAAAATGAGGACCTTGTTTGAGGATGAATGTTGGAGTTTTAGATGACTTTTGGACATAAAACCTGCGAAAATTAATCTTTAGAAGGAGGAGAAGATTGAAGATCAAGAGTTTAGAAGATTGTAGCAAGAATTCACATCATACATTCGGTTTGCTTAGATTTGATCATGTCTAATTTACTTTCTTATGTGTTTATGTGTTTCTTTTATGCAATTATGAGCTAAATCATTAGGCTTTCATTTAGTGATGATGAACCCTAATACTTTGAGTTAGTTTCTAATTTACATGGATTTATGAAGTTGGTTTAACTTGTGTTTGATTTATCAATACATATCATGTTAAAATTTTTAATTTTTGTTGCTTAGATTTCAAGTTTAGTGTAGTTGAATAACCATTTTAATTGCATGAACTAGTTTACCTAGTTGTTTATGAACATTAAATTACTAGATCTTGTGATGGACCAAATCCAAGAATATATAATAAAGATAACAACTTTAATTGTGTTATAATTTGATCATACTCTTGATCATAGAAAATTAATCTTAGATATATATTACATAACCCAATAATCTTAAATAATCAATTCTATGCCCACTCGTATATGATCATTGCATAGTAGTTCATGAATTGGTGAAACGTTAGGAGATCGGACCAAGACTTCTAATAAATTTTACATTGGTAACCGACTGAATTAATCCATGTCTTCAAATTAACCATATGCAAATGGGGGATTCAAAGCTACATGAAAGTGTCTTCATTCTCTTGATTACAATCTTTTTTAGTTAGTTGTTTACGTTAGTTAGTTGAAGTAGTTAAGTAAATCTGGACTTGCAAAATCAGATAAAATACCCCCCACTTTAGTTGTTTTTTCTAGATTAATTTTAGTAGTTATTTTACTAGCTACATACCATTCCCTGAGATCGACACCCGCCTTACTTTTCTTTACCGTAATCTAATTAGGTCCACTGCCTACAAGTGCATTAGTTGATAAGTTTTGTTAGGTTATAAATTTAAAACTGATAGGTATATCTGCACTCCATCAACCGATTACCCACTACTTGCCTTGAGATCAATGTAGACTCCAGCTCCCGCGACTTTACGTATTACTGATGGACGCCAGGGGAAGGCCGAGGCCCTAAATGCCCAAGGGAGAGCCTTCCATTTGACAGCAGAGGAGGCTAGGGCGACGTTGGACGTCGTTACCGGTATGTATTTATTTATCTTTCTGCCAATTTATATTTTCATGTATGCATATATCCATGCTTATGTATGTACATTCCTAGTCAATTCATTACATGCGTTAATTTTGTTTGACGCAGGTGCGAGTCGATCTTTTGCGTCTTCGTCTTTTAATAGGGATTTTCATGTTTCCCTTGGATCATTAGATCGACCGCTAGAGGTCGCCATCGCCTATGACCGCACGGTTTTAGCCTTGGATGTTTACCGTGACTGTATGTTAGAGATTTTTGGTGTGAGATTTCCGATAGACCTTATTCCTATTCCGATGAGGGATGTATGTATGATTGTGGGTATGGATTGGTTGAGCCGGTTCGGAGCACTGATCGACTGTAAACGCCAGCTAATGGTACTTCGTACCCATAGTAAGGGAGAACTAATCATCTTTGGGGAGGGTACTAGAGTTGGTTCTACCTTTTGTTTGGCCGCCAGGGCTAGGCAGTATCTTCAACATGGATGCTCGAGTTACCTTGTTTATGTGGTTGAAACATGAACATGATATTTCATGCTATTATCGTGTCGAAATTTGAACATGAAAACGACATCAACACAAATTCGAAATTTGATTCTTTCAATTTCGTTTCGTTTCATGTCATGTCGACTATGGATGTCAAAAAGTCTCGTGGGACCCCGAACCTGTGGGCTCGATCACATATGGGGGATATTTGTTAAAAAAACGGGGGCAGAGAGAAATCTAACCTCCGTTTTAATTTCAAGGGTGGGGACGGGGGTGGGCAGTCCCTTCCCGAACCCACCATGGGGGTCCCGTTAATATATATATATATATATATATATATATATATATATATATATATATATAGTATAATATTTTTGAGATGTGATAACATTTATTGAGCTTCCACAATCCAACAAAAAAAAATCATGTTTTTAAATTGTTAGTATAACATTTTTGAGATGTGATAACATTTTTGTTTTTAACATGTAAAATTATATTATAAATAAGTATTTTTAATCCAAAAAACATCTTTAAGCAAAAAAAAAACTTCTTTTAGCCCAATAAAAAAACCATCCCAAAATCAATCGGGGCGGGGGAACAGGACACTGGAAATTTCAGAGGCATGGATGGAGGAATGAGGAAATTTTGAGGGTGAGAGCGGGAGATGCAACCCCCGTCCTATTTTTCCCGGTTGACATCCCTAATTTTGACTTTTTCCACCCCTATACTTAATCCATAAATACTAATAGAATGTTGAAAAATGACAAAAGTTGCAACTTTGTAAAACCACGGTCAGAATTTGAAGCGTTTTTGAAAGTTGTCCTCAACCTGACATTTTATAAAAATCACAGGGACCAATTCTGAAGTTTTGTCTATATAATATTTTCTGTAAATAAAAAATAAAATAAAAATGTTTATTAATGTTCTAAACTTTGATCATTTCCGACATATAAGCTGTAGCCACTTCACTTGCAGTCTTGCAGTTTTGCATTACAAGTCTAAGGCACTGAAGAGGGTTATCGGCGCCTCACAGACGCCGGTGGATCCGTCAAACATCCGCCTCATCGTCATCACAACCATCACCACTCTCATGGTCATACTCGTTGCTCATGAATCATCATCATCACCGACATTGTTAATTTCACTCCTAGATGTCTGTGTAGAAGTAAAATCAATGAAGAATACGAATATTTCATCAATCATCAGTGTGATAAAGGTGGCGCGACGCGCGATACCGGAGCTTCGTGGTACTCACCTTAGCCATAGCTTCCACCATCGTATTTATTGCTCCATAAATTATCATCATAATCAATCCATATGGCTAATCTCGCGCTTAGATGTCTATGTAGACGAAGATATAACCAATGCAAAAATAAGGAGACTTCATCGGTGGCGGTGCTAATGAAGGTGTCGCGACAGGTGGCAGCGGAGCTCCGTCGTGTGCGTCTGAAAAAAAATGATGGAAATATGCAAAGGGGTAGTTTGGTCAAAGTCAAAAGTTACCGACTTTGACCTCCATCTGTAAACTGTGAAATTCTCTCTCCATTTTGGGGGAAAAATGTTTATAGAATTGTAGTCAACAAGGAGAACACTAGAAAATTCAGTATACGACAACAGTGATTGATTGAAGTTGAAACCCTTTTTCCGTTCTTCGGTCACACGTTTAACATTTTTTCTTCAAAACAACACCAAATTTCAACAGATGTTGTAAACTATTTCGCCAATCAATTCCATATTCAACAACAAAACCCCAAATCTCCAACTTCGGGTTTTTAATCTCTACTTAAAAACTTCACCCACTCAGACCCCCCATCACACGCACACACAAACACTCACAGATCCTCGAACACATCAATCCCTGTATTGCGTCGAGAATCGATGATGACGAAACTCTTTCTAGGGTTCATATTATTAAGCTGCTTCTATCATCAATCAGCAATGGGTCGTTTCGTAGTGGAAAAAAACAGCTTAACAGTATCTTCACCAGAAAGCATCAAGGGAAATCACGATAGTGCCATCGGCAACTTCGGTATTCCTCAATACGGTGGTAGTATGGCCGGAACTGTGAGTTACCCAAAAGAAAACAGAAAAGGTTGTCGTGAATTCGATGAATTTGGTATTGCTTTTAAAGCCAAACCTGGTACTTTGCCGACGTTTGTTTTACTCGATCGTGGAGGTATGCAATTAACTTTTACTATATGATTTTCGATTGTTTATTCTTAGGTATCTTTATTATTGTTTCTAGCTAAACCTAAGCTTGTTTCTTGTTGTTGCTTCAAATTGTTTTTCCATAATGAATTTGGACTTTCCTTTTTGGATTACTCTTTCCTGGTTCGTAATTTTCATGATCTTTTTTCTGATTCATAAAAAAAAAAAAAAAAAAAAAAAAAAAAAAAAAAAAAAAACGGTTTGTATTATCTGAGCACTGATCTTGTTGTTGCCTATTCTTTGTTTTTGGATAATTTGGTAGCTGTCTATTCTTTAATTATATTCTTTTAGGGATATTTCCTCATGTTCAGTTATGAACATTCCATGTTCATAACTGAACATGTGTATGCGATGATCATAACTAAACATCCATGTCCATATGTATGTTTAGTTATGAACATACCCATGTTCATGAATTCATGAACATGGGTATAATTTGGTTGAGTAGTTTAACTGTGTAAGTTACACTACTGAACCAATATCTACCGGTTTTATATTTATGATAATCACAATTCATATTCTTTCTCCACCCAGACTGTTTCTTCGCGTTAAAAGTATGGAACGCGCAAAACGCAGGCGCATCCGCAGTCTTGGTAGCAGACGACCTCGACGAGCCGCTAATCACCATGGACACACCGGAAGAAGACAGCGCATCATCAAAATACATCGAAAACATAACAATTCCATCCGCCCTAATCTCCAAATCATTTGGAGAAAAATTAAAAAAATCCATAAGTGATGGAGACATGGTCAACGTAAACCTTGACTGGAGAGAATCGGTCCCACATCCAGATGATCGTGTAGAATACGAACTTTGGACAAATAGCAACGATGAATGTGGAATAAAATGTGATATGTTAATGGATTTTGTTAAAAATTTCAAAGGTGCAGCACAAATTTTAGAAAAAGGGGGGTATACATTGTTTACACCTCATTATATAACATGGTATTGTCCTCAAGCTTTTACAATAAGTAAACAATGTAAGTCACAATGTATAAACCATGGGAGGTATTGTGCTCCTGACCCTGAACAAGATTTTAGTCAAGGGTATGAAGGGAAAGATGTGGTTATTGAAAATTTGAGGCAACTTTGTGTTTTTAAAGTGGCAAATGAGACAAAAAAGCCATGGGTTTGGTGGGATTATGTTACGGATTTTCAAATAAGGTGTCCAATGAAGGAAAAGAAGTATAATAAAGATTGTGCTGATGGGGTTATCAATTCTTTAGGTGATTTTTTTTTCTAATTGTTATTGTAAAATGTATAAATGGAAGGTTGAAAAAGGAAAATGAATATTTTTTTTACAGGACTTGATTTGAAGAAGATTGAGAGATGTATGGGAGACCCTAATGCAGATTCTGATAATCCTCTCCTCAAAGAAGAACAAGATGCTCAAGTAATATTTTTTACATAAAGGGCGATTATATAAAATACTTGAGTGATTAATTAAAAAATATTATGTTTTTTTTTTTGGCAGATTGGGAAAGGGTCAAGAGGTGATGTGACCATATTGCCCACACTAGTTGTTAATAATCGACAATACAGAGGTTAGTTTTTAGCTTTTTGTGTCTGCATATGTTCACATTGAAGGAGAAAATTAATTAAATGTGTTTTTATTATAAATATTTTTATTTTTTACAGGAAAGTTGGAGAAAGGTGCTGTTTTGAAGGCCATTTGTGCTGGTTTTGAAGAAACAACTGAGCCAGCTGCTTGTCTGAGTGATGGTAAGATATAATCCGTCAGTTTATGGGTCATGACACGACATTGGAGAAGGGTAAAATGGTCATTCACTCACATTCAGACAATCATTTAGCCCCAAAAGTGAAACAGTCTTTGTGTATGCAACACTTAATGGATGTGAAAATAAGTCTTTATAGGTCATGACACCACACTTGAGAAGGGTCAAATGGTCATTTACTCACATACAGAGAGTTCATTTAGTCCAAAAAAAAAATAGTCTTTATGTATACAACACTTAGTTGGATGAAAAAAGTCCTTATATGTCATGACATGACACTCGAGAAGGGTAGAATGGTCATTTAGTGACTGTCTTATTCAGTCCAAAAAAGGGATAGTTTTTATGTATACATCACGTAATGGGAAAAAAAAATAAAAACATTCTCTATAGGTCATAACACATGACACTTGAGAAGGGTGAAATGGTCATTTACCATGTTCTGACAGTTCACATTCAGAGCATTTAATGGGAAAAAAGAAACTGACCTTAATCTGATTTTATTTTATTTTATTTTTTCAGATGTGGAAACAAATGAGTGCTTGGAGAATCATGGTGGATGCTGGCATGACAAAATTGCCAATGTCACTGCATGCAAGGTACATTTTGTAATTTTTAGAATTATTATTATTATTATTATTATATATGTTTTTTATTATGTTGCTTAATTTTTTATATTTATTATCTACATATTTAGGACACTTTTCGTGGGAGAGTTTGTGAATGCCCTTTAGTTGATGGTGTACAATTTAAAGGAGATGGTTATACCTCCTGTGAAGGTAAATTTTTAATAATATATTGTATTATTATTATAATAATAATAATAATATATTATAAAAATAAAATTATTGTAGCAAGTGGGCCCGGACGTTGCAAGATCAATAACGGAGGATGTTGGCATGAAACCCGAGATGGGCATTCATATTCCGCTTGCTCGGTTTGTACTTTTCTCAAATTTTATAATTTAATTTTTTTTAAAGTTATAGATTAAAAAAAATAAATTTTAAAACATATTATAAAAATACAGGATAGTGGAAATGGGAAATGTGCATGCCCTGTTGGGTTTAAAGGTGATGGTGTCAAAAGTTGTGAAGGTAATTGATTAATGTTTTTTCTTTTTAAATTTATTGTGGATAGAAGAGAAATTTACGATTTTGCCCTTGAGTGACAGATATTGATGAATGCAAAGAGAAGAAAGCATGTCAATGTCCTGAATGTAGTTGCAAGAATACATGGGGAAGCTATGAGTGCACGTGTAGTGGTGACCTTTTGTATATAAGAGACCATGATACATGCATAAGTAAGTACACCTTCTTTTTTTTGGTCTGATGGAATCAAAAAAGGAATGGAATCGTTCATTCCGTTGCCAGATGGAATGGAATGGACCATTCCGTTCTTCCCATTTTGTTAATTTTTCATTAATTAGTCGGTGGCTGTTTTTCTTATTCCATATAAAATATAAAAAAAAAAATCATACCAACATTCAATACATGATCACGGAATCTAATAAACTCATTCCATTCCTTTCATCATTCCACCATAAGTAAAATTCCGTTTTTGCCCTTCTAATTAGGCAAAAGGGCTGTTCAAGGAAAATCTGCATGGAGTGCTGTTTGGATCATTTTATTGGTGTTAGGTTCGGTTGCTGGTGGAGCATATCTTGTCTACAAATATAGATTAAGGGTAAGTCACCAAAGGGCATATCTTTTCATTAATTTGCTTATTATTATTTGGTAGATTTTTCAAAGAAAAAAAATTGAAAGTAGAAATATGTAAATAAAGAGATAAATGAAAGTAGGTTCTTATTTGTTTGTGGTGTAAAAATTTCAGACTTACATGGATTCGGAGATAAGAGCGATTATGGCACAATACATGCCATTGGACAACCAAAGTGAAGTACCCAATCATGTTAGTGAAAATCGTGCTTGAAATGAAATTATAAAAAAAAAAAGAAAAAAAGAAAAGGAAATAGTGTTGGATGATTCGTTGGAACTATATGGTGATGTGTTTGAGGGGTAATTACTATAATACCCTTGTACATCCAACCCATGAATTTGTTGTGTACGGTGTACCATTATCATGATAAGAAAGTGTAGAAAACTTTGTCAAGTTTGGATGTTTTGGGGATGAGATTTGATAGGAAAATTTGATGGTGTGTTGTATGGTTAAAAGCTTGTCATATCATTTTATTTATTTTTTTAATTATTATTTCAGTTACAAGTCGGAAGCAATATACAACATGTGATCGGTCAAATTTATATTTTAACAACGCATTTTCGATGCAAAAGTGTTGTATGAAAAAATGAAAAATAAATAAAAACAGCGTTTGGATCGATATTATGGAATTTTGATTAACATGTTGAGTGGATGTAGAATTATGGGATTGAGATTATTTTATTAGTTTTTGTGAAGTCGTTTAGTATTTTATATAAAATAAGAAATTGGTTGAATTTTGTTTTTTTAATGATATTTTGTATTAAGATAAAAATTAGGAATTACAATTCAACTTGGTGATTTATAATGATTAGCACAATCTAATTAGTTTTTAGATTGTTCGATATTAAATTCATGTGTAGTGGAATATCCGTATAGCTTCATATTTCAATGGTATAATGTATGAAAGCTGTAAATTTTTATTGATATAAAGAAAAAAATTGGCTTTATAGCGGCGAATAAAAACGGCTTTTGAAAATAAAAATTTAACATGTCCGATATATGTTGGATTAAATTTACATCATTATGTAGATAAAATAAGATGATCTAAATGATATATTTAAATTTATATCGAGTATTACAACTTTGAACTAATTATAGAGATAAAAAGGTATGTATTATAGTTAATGTTGAGGTGTGCTAAAGGCCTGTATTTAGTGTAATGAAGTTTAATTAAATCTAAGAAATTGTGTGTATGTCAATACCTTTAATGATATAAAACAAAGGGTTGGTTTTCGTTACTTCTCAATTTTCATCACAATATATCAGAAACTTATCAACTCTTTGAACTTTGAAGAGCCAAGTGAGCCTCATTTTTCATGTTCAACATCATTTTTGTGTGTACATTCCAGAAATATCAAAAGTATTCATATTGGATTACCTCATTTAAAATTTATATACTGATTATAACATGTATATCACATCATATTGTTAAAAGGTATAAAGTCATAAAATGAGAAAGTATTATTTTTAAATTATTAAGGGATATTTGGGATTGCTTATTTAAAATTGTTTTTAATTTTTTTTAATTTTTTTAATTTTTTGTAAAAGTGCTTAGCTTATATAGTACCAAAAGACAACCAGCAGATAAATTGTTTTTTTAGTGTCTGATAAATTATATTTATTCATGTAGAATGACAAAAGAAGATACCAGTAAAATGGAAAAATAATATACACATATTTGGTCAAGAAAAAATAAGAACAAGGATAAAATTCATATGGTTTTTAAAGTTAAAAATTGGTAAAAGATAAGGTAAATTGGTTTCCACGTTATCATAAACACTCTTAGATAAGTTCTAAACACTTTCATATAAGTTACAAGAAAAATACTTATGAAATTTATCTATTTAAGTCAATAATATTTTTTATTATCTTATTTGAGTTGAACACTTAAAAATACTTACCATCGGTGCTTAAACTAATGGAAATTAATATTTCCACTTAATAAATTGATTCATCCACATGAGTTACAACACCTTTGCAACTATCGTACAAGTTAATAAAACGTACATTTCAAATGGATTACTAAAATTAATACAAACCTTAAATAAGCAATCCTAAAGACTTTTTTTTTTTTTAATGATCGTCCACAAAATATCAATGATCAAGATTTACCTACAATTGGGTCATCTAGACAATATCACCATAACACTAAAACTTAAATCCCAAACCAATAATTTTAAGAAGTCTCCGGATTTAGTGTTTTTGAATCATAATGCACATGTTGATTATTAATATCAAAATTTACTTATTAAATGAAGCATATATTCTCCAATAAAGGTGCAAATATTAGAGAGGCTAGTGCTTTTTACAATTATAGCACACATGCTAGATGGTTTGTTGATGTAACATGTCGTTTTCTAGCATGTGTTTATTATGTACTTTTTATTAAAGTATTAATGATATGTCACATATTTTTCCCGAAATTACACTATAATTAATAAACATATTGTAAAAAAATACCAAAAAATATCAAACCGATAAATAAATAAGTGTTGAGACCAATATCAAAACAACATGTATATAAATATAATTCGAATTTTTGATAGACATAAATAACAACATTGATTGGAATCCAAAAACTATTCAACATATTCTATTGATCTATTTGAAATAACGACGTTAATTGGAATATAAACTCAAAAGCCTTTATCTTGTTATCATGTGCTATCTTCCAATCACGTTATATAACGAATCAACTTCACTAATCATATTTCCATCATTTTAACATGAACTATATTGAAAATCCGTCAGATTTTTTTTCGTGCATTAAGTAGTCATATTGTGATAAAAGTTGAAAACATACTCATTTTTAAACATGGTTTCCACTTTCGATTAATTTTAGCGAATAACTGATTTTAAAAGTTGTTTAGCCCTAGTTTATTTAGTTGAGAATAGTTTAACATTGTTATCACAAAAATCAACAAAATACATTATAACATTGAAGTCATTTGCAAAATAGATTAATTAAAAATCAACAAATTATACTTGCAAATGTGTACGCATGTTTTGTATCTATGTGAATCAAATTTAATCAAGAAAGAAACTGTTGGCTTACTATAAAACTCGAAACTATCATTTATTAACTATTCATGAAACAAATGATCCACTTTATATCAATCAAATCATGATTCTGAATAGTATGAGATGATCTTCGATCAAAGTATCAAAACATGTCACTGTTGCACTACCTGATCAACCAACTTATCCTCCAAACCATGTTGTGCGATTCTGTAATACAGAACACCCATTGTTGCCACACACGCCCTGCATCAATAATTTTATAATTTTTTTATAACAAAAAAAATGGTAATAACTTGGTACACATGATATAACAGGTTGCACTGCGTCTGACATGCATCGGACTGAGACTGGGACTGACGTCGCTATTACAAAAATTGCAACTTTTTGCCATATCCAAAAAGATGGAACAAGACATGGAATCGCTCTCGATCTCTCTCGTTTGTGTAAAAAGACGTGAATACCCTCCGCATCTCATCATCGAAAATAACCATCAAAAGCTTGTCCAATCCTGTCCTGTGTAACAAACGCAGCCGTAAGGCTGCGTTTGTTAAATGAGACAGGACAGGACTACACAAGCTTTCGATGGTTATTTTTTATGATGAATATGAGGAGGGCATTTACGTCTTTTTACACAAACGAGAGAGATCGAGAGCGGTTCCCTGTCTTGTTCCATCTTTTTGGATATGGCAAAAAGTTGCAATTTTTGTTACAGCGACGTTAGTCCCAGTCTCAGTCCGATGCATGTCAGACGCAGTGCAACCTGTTCTGTCATGTCATGTCTTACATGATTGCTATGACGAGAAGTATTTTTCTTGGATCCATTCTTGATGGTCTATGGTGACGCGATGACGTGTCATCTGCATTTCCCTCTTTTTTAGGAGGTGCGGTTACCGGTAAAGTAGGCAAAGCACTTGACCAAAAAGGTACCAATGATCTCATAAACTTGTCACAACAACTGCCTACATTCATAATTATAGAATTATTACACGATACAATAATAAATAAATATTGAATTTTAATGCTCACCTCTTCTTGTATACTTCTTCTTATTAGCATCTTCATCATCTGCATAATAAGAGAATTCAGATGTTTGCTTTTCACCTTGTGGAGTAGTCTTTCTTGTTGTAGCACCAGAATTTGGGCTTTTTGAGAAATTGGGTTCATGTGGAGCATCTTTTTCCACAACATTAATGCTTGAAGGTTTTGAAGAACTGTTTCCAGAGGGAACTTTTTGGTTTTAAAGGATCAGAGTCAAAAGCAGGAGGTGGTCCATGAGAATGTTTGGGTGGTGATGAAATTGGATGATTTCCAAACAAGCTCTTCTCATTTCCACTCTGTAAAACAAAAATGTTTAGTGCGAGAAGGGGATTCACGTCTTTTTGTACAGATTAGACAGTAGACAGTAATTGAAAAGTTAGCATATAAGAATTGCAATGAAACAAATACTAATTACCTGCATAATTGCTTCCTTCAACTGTGAATGCAGGCGGGAGCCTGAGTTTTTTACATTTTTAGGAGGCCATATCTGCAAAGATGAAGCAACCAAAATGTTGAATTTTTTAATAAACTACAAAAGAGAAGCATTTTTTTAACAGTTTACAACCTTTCCTATCAAGATTTATATAAGCAGATAACAAGCTACATAAAAACGAACCATAGACATGGATCTTACTGGAGTTGAACATGCTGGACAAGTAAATCCATCTGGAGCAGTATCTTGAGGAAAACTTTTTATATGTGAAACTAAGCAATTTGTATGTATATTATCTGAAAACACATAGATAAAAGAAGAATAATAAGTAATGTAGCAATTCATAGTAATCTAGTATTCATAGAAGATGAATATCAATATAAAAATTCAAGTGCAATATAACATACGCAAACAACCCAATCGTGTTGTTTGAGGATCATTGCTCTCTGTGAGCACAGTTTGGCAATGGCAGCACTTTGTAGGCCAATCATATTCTCCATCAACTACCCATGCTGAGTATGTTCCAACCTACAAAATCAGCCAAATTGTGTCATTCAGAAGCTCAATTTTATGATTATATCAGAATGATATACATGTGACTACAACATACCACGCAAATTTGATGTTCCTGGAAACATATACATTCACCACAAACAGGAACCTTGTGGACGAAGCAGTACAATTTAGTTGCCTGTGACGAAAATCTCCAATTTCATTACCTCTCAATCAAAGCAACAATAAACGTATAACATCGTTGAATAAGCTCTCGATTATCAAACTATTATCGAATTGGAATTTGTAATCCAAAATTAACAGCAATTGGAATATGAATTTAGTAGCTCGGTTTGATCTAAAAGCTTCAATTGTTACTGAGAAAACTACATTCCAGTCGCTTCGCACAATCAAACTGAGGAAATACGTTAAATTGTGTAAAATTACGACGTGATGTGAAGGAAGGGAGAAGGCGTACCTTTCGGCACTTGCAGACCACCATTGGAATGAGTGTAACTGGTTACACATAGGAAAACCTAAATTCGAAAGCTTCCATTGTACGTTACATGTGAAATCGGATAGAATATAGATCAATTTAATGATGCAAATTGTTTATGTAAATTTATAGGGTTTTAGGAAAAAATAATGGAAGATCCGAGCAAGAGATCTTTGAAGAAGATGGTTATGTGTGATTCTTCGGATATGTGTCGCGAATTCTGAGACATATTCTTCATTGAAGGAAGATGTGTAGGTTCATATTGCTGGATGTATCATGTATATGATATTTCTAAGTTTTGTGATCGTACGTAATTCCTAATTCGGTTTTAAATTGCCAAACAAACCGGGCTGTATTGCATGGGCCCGGTCCGGTTCAAAAATCAAATGAAAACCTGATTCGCTCGCTTTTTTTTTTTTTAAGACAAATTACTATATCCGGTTTTTGCATTTGTAAAGGTCATAAATAATAGTAGGTTACATTTTATTTTATTTATTTTAATATTTAAGAGAAATGCGACTAGTATCATGAGTAACAATTTCTAGAAAGCCTATGGATATTCTACATGAAAACAATTTCTAGAAAGCCTCTTACCTCCGAAATTTCTAGAAAAACAACCAACTTAAGCCTTTGTAGAGCCCTCCAGAAGGCTCTCGTGAGCTTTGGAAATTACTTTAACTTGAAAAATTACTGAAATTTCAGAAGCCTAAATAAGTTGGAAAGTTAAGACATGGATAATCCAATATTGGCTTAGTCAAATTCAACCCCTTACACTAATATGCATTGGAACACATTTTTCCACCTCACTTGTAGTCTGAACATATTTTTTATTTACAAGTGGAAGGCTATGAATGGACCATCATGCCCCTTGATCCCATAAAGGGGTGGAATCCTTTGATACTTGTCATGTTTGGGATCAATGACATAAATTAGAGAAATTAATATCCTCTTACCATTTCTTCCTACTTATCTTCCTACCCATTTGAAATGGTGACATGTGTCATATTTTGATAAAATTAATTATATTTTAAGACACTTGTCATCATTTAAAGTGGGTAGGAAGATAATTAGGAGGAAAAGTAGGAGGATATTTAATTTCTCCATAAATTATATATTGTATTTGGTTCATTTTTATCTGATCAAAGATAAAACCGTATATACGGAAATCAGATAAATATAATTTAGATGAGATTTATCCAAAACTTTTTGCTTGAAATTATCGGATTTTGGATAATCCCTTGGATAGGATTCATTCGGATTTTTTTTTTCTAGATTTTGGATGAAAGTTATAGGATTTTTAATTGGATCAAAATTCGGTTTCAAATCTTTTGGGGTATCTGGATCATATCCAATGGATCAGAATGATCTTATGGATTTCTTTTCGAATATAATAAATCCAAATCCTTTTCGGCACCTTGTTGCTTCACACATCCACATCATCCATATTAGGGATGGCAAAAAAGCCTGAACCCGACGGGGAAATCCGAAACCCGAACATTTCGGTTCGGGTAACGGGTCGTTATCCGCCCCGATTATATATATATATATATATATATATATATATATATATATCTATATATATATATATATATATATATATATATATACTATCTTACTCCCTCCGTCCCAATATTATTTTCCACAGACAAAAAACACACATATTAAGAAAAGTATTAATTACCATTAACTTTATTTAATAAAATGATAGTTTTGTCCTTACTTTGCATTTAATGTTCCATTAAATGCTTAGTTGGTTAAGTAATAATGAGAGGATATTTTGGTAAAAATGTTATTCATTTTTAGAAGTAGACTATTATTTTGGGACAAACCAAAAAGGAAAGATGGACTATAATTTTGGGACGGATAGAGTATTATACAAATCTTACTATTTCTAAAAATAGATTTAAGACGTCCAAACCTTTAAGCTGAATGTACAAACATTTATCAACAAATTACAAAATACAATGCATTAAGTACAAATGTAAAATTAATATTGAAAAATTCAAACCTACATCCTTATCTTACCCAATATAGAAGATTTAAATTTTAAAAAAATCATACTTTTTGGTCAAAAGTTGAATTTTAAGAGGTAGAAATGAAATTGCAATACATACAATCATTTTATGCATTACCTAATCATACTTTTGGTCAATAAGTAAAAAAGTCAAGATAAGAATTATAGTATCATTCAATACCGATTCTTACCAACATTTAAGGAGTTATAATTATATTCAAACTTGAATCCCAGTTATCTCGGCCCAGTCTTCTTAAATTCATCGATGGTTTCCAGTCACATACAATTTTATTTTTTAGGATCCACGATCAATGGATGTAAACTACACGGTGGTATCGGAACAAATACATTGCTCTTTAATCGTCCTCAAAAACCCATTGAGATGCATTCGAAAGCCATCCCACCACTGCCATCGTCATAGCTTTCTTCTCCAGATCCTACCGATGTTGATCTACCGGTCACAACTACTTTAAACGTTTCCGCCATAACATCACCAAACCCCAACATCGAAACACTAGCACAACATCGTTCCCGTATCTAATGACTCTGCTACTTCCCTTTTCATCGGCATCACAGAGGTTCATTTTTGTTCTCTCCCTCTCTCTGTCTCCTTCTCTCTCTCTCTCTCTCTCTCGACCTTACTTAAGAAGATCTGGACCGATCTATAAAAATTATTTCATCTTTCTGTTTATGATAATCAGCCATGGCTACAAAACATGTTAATCCTTTGTTATTTTACAGATTTATAAGATTTTGTTTTGCGTTCCTCTATGGCCCAATTTCGGGTATGATTTTTGTTTTGTGTTCGTTACTCTCTGCCTCTAAATCTCCCCAATTGCGCACATACACTATTTGTTCTTGATTTGGTTAACTGTATACTTTTCCCTTCTCATATCTATTTAACCTAACCACACTCCCACCAAATTTGGATGACCAAAAATAGGGCCAAGTTTTTTTTATATTTTGTTCATTCTTTTCTTTTTCCAGTAAGGCTCTTAATTGTCAATTGCTTAGTAATATGTTAGATTATTTTATTTGTTAAACTTATTTGGTCAATTTATTTGTAAAAATTGTTAATATTACAATCACTGGTAACCTTCGATTGGCCAATTTGATTAATAAACAAATGAAGTTTATCACAAAAATAATATTTGAAATTTGCAGGGAATTTTCTCAAATGTCTATGTGTTAGTATGTTGCACGCCATGTGCCTGTATAAATGCTTCTTCATCTGAAACCTATTTACAAGCTGCAAATTCACTTAGCCTCTCGAATTCATTTTGCAGGTCTGTTTAACTCTTAGAAGTTCTGTTGGCAGGATGGTTCATAAGAAGGTCAAGAATGGTTCTTTTTTTAGAAATATGAACCTCATAGTATACGTAATCCATGAAATCAGGTAAGCTTTCAATGGATTTCTTATATTTTATTCCGTGGTAGTGTAGGTTTCAATGAAAAACGTGGTCCTTTGTCTATATCAGCTTCCTTCCATCTTCACCCCCAATCAGAGTTTGGTCTGGTAGCTGCTTTTTGTTTTTTTCATAGTTTCAACGGAAATAAGTGATGGTTAAGCAACAACAATATTTGCAAATTATAAAACAAAACAAGAGAATGGAATGAAGATGAAAATGAATATTTTTTAAATTGAATCATTTAAGATTTGTCTATTATTTATTTGGGTTTTAGTTCTGATGTTTTTTTGTTTTAATGAATAGAAAATTGACTAAGTGAAAGAATAAGAGACGGAGATGAATGCAATGTTTCAAGCTTCTTTTAGTCAACATAATGTTCCAATTGGTATGAATTCAATTTTTTCCATTTCATTTTTCCAATTTGTTAATTAGGATTAGGGTATACTATAGTTGTACTTTTTTATTTATAATTTTTTTTATATTTAATAGTATTATCTGTGGTGGGCTACACTTTATTGATATTCACTGATGTATGTATGTATTGTTTCAGGTGAAAAAACTCTAGGACTCGATTCTGAATATTTTTGGTGAAACTTCTTAAATTATGGTAATTTTGTTTGGTTTTTGGGTAACATGTGTGAGGGTGTTGTGTGTATGTATGCTTGTGGCTTTATGCGTCTATGCGTATATATATAAGACATAGAGTATATTGCTATTTTCTACATTTAGCTTAATCATGGCCTCAATGTAAGACATGACAAAGTAATTTATGTATGTAACATCCCAATTTTAAGGTCCAAAAATTTCTTTTTAATTAATTGACTCATAAAAACATTCATAAGAAAATACTGTGGAAACACATCATCTCATAAAACTATGCATCATGTCTGAAAACCCAAGTCATAAAATCATAACATATCAGAGTAACATCCCAGAAAACTCCATGCAGAAATCATGTGTGTGTGTGATGCGATGCTACGCCGCCGGCTCCTTCCCCTTAGACGAAGAGGTACCTAAAACCAAAACCGAAACCGTAAGCACAAAGCTTAGTGAGTTCCCCCATCATACCACATACCATACAATATCCTCGGTGTCTTTCAACCGGTAATCATCGTCGGTATCTTTCAACCGGTAATCATAATCGGTATCTTTCAACCGGTAATCATCACGTACCATACAATATCCTCGGTATCTTTCAACCTGTAATTATCGTCGGTATCTTTCAACCGGTAATCATCATCGGTATCTTTCAACCGGTAACTGTCATCGGTATCTTTCAACCGGTAACTGGGGACTATTCCACCCCTTACCACTAGCATACAACAACATGATATAAACATACAGTCAGGCATATCCGGGTACTGACCTACCCTTTGGTCCTAAGGACCGCTATCAGGGAAACCAATCCCTATCATACACGTAACATATCATACAAATAAAACTCATGACCAAAGCATGTAACCAGACCAAGATAATTATCACAAAGACAATCATCTTCTAAATACTCCTCTTTGGTGGGCCGGTATTGTGGCCTTAGACCCATCCCTACTGGAAGGTAACTCATCTCGTACAAGTAGCTGCTGATAATCTGTGCGGGAAACCTCTGTCTGTTGCCGCTCCGGAAATCCTCCGGCTACAATCCCCACAAAACACTTAATCAGAGTCTGAATCTATTCTTAGGGTAAAATGACCATTTTACCCCTGACCAAGTCCAAGTCAAAGTCAAAGTCAACTTCCAGTTGACCCGACTCGCCGAGTTGGGCTGTTAACTCGTCGAGTCCCTATCACTTCAATTGTCCTCATCCACGATTATACTCGTCGAGTTTAGCGACGACTCGACGAGTTCCTCTTCGATATGAACATCGAATGAACCTTCATCCGACTCGCCGAGTTGTATGAACACTCGTCGAGTTCACCTTCATCAGATGAACAAGTTCTGACCTTGACTCGCCGAGTTGTATGAACAACTCTTCGAGTTCATCTTCAATCATAAGGAGATTGCCTTGGACTCGCCGAGTCTGTTCTAGCACTCGTCGAGTCCCATGAACTCCAGGTCTAAAACTAAGTCCAATGCGTTGGGTCGCCCTTTCTGTCCTGCTACAACCCTTCTAACACCCAACTGAGTTCTTTGACCCTCAACAGATATGGGGCTCAAAGCCTTGGACTCGTCGAGTCCCAAGAACGGACTCGCCGAGTCGATAACATCCACACCCTAAATCCTCGATTTCTGATGTACAACACTTGACCAAATGATAGATCCAAGCCCCTAAGCTCGATCTAGCACGTAAAGTTACGAACTTTACGTACATGCATGAGACTTTTGAGCCAAAAAGGCTCTAAAATGGCTCTAGTGTTGCATGGGGCCTTCCTTGGGTGCAAAAGCAACCAAAATCTGCCTTGTGACCCCTTTAAAGACCTGATTCCAAAGCCTTAACCCCCAACCATGTTTGCAATCATGGTTGGTTAACAAAAATGGCTTATAAAAGCCCTAAATCTCCCCAAAAAGGGATTTATCAAATGAAAGAATAAGGTACAGACTTTATACCTCTCAAAGACTGCAAATGATGAACCAAACTCGAATCCTTCAGTTCCCTCTTGATCCTTCTATGCTCTTCCTTCTTCCTTGTGAACAAAACCACCAAAATCACTCAAAAGCCTTAGATCTTGCACCAAAACACTTAGGGTTTGCTATGGAGGGTTTCTGGGAGCATAAAGGGGCGATGGAGGCTGCATAAGGTTTTTTAAATAGGGTACAAACCCTCTGATTAGGGTTTTGTCCAGTCAGAGCCTACTCGTCGAGTCCGGGACCCGACTCGACGAGTCCATCACTTAAATCCCGCGCCTCATCCCGCTTCTACTCGGCGAGTTGGTCCTTCAACTCGCCGAGTCCAAGGCCAAAAATGCAAAATACTTAAATAAAAATACATACCAAGAACCAGGTGCTACAATGTATCCGTTGGTTCTCTTTAAGAAAGATTTTGAAATTTTGAAATTTTCCAACCTAAAGTTTACCCCAAAATCATAGAAATACCTTCACTTTCTTCTTAATTGCATGATGTGTGCATCTATACTGTCAACATGTTATTTTGATTAAATTTGTTACCATTTTTTATTATTATTGTAATATTTCTTCATTGATAGTATAGTGAGGTCCAATTTGCGATATATTCACGAACATGAAACAGGTTGACACACAAGTACATGCCTAAATGCTCATTTCTGTAGGATATTGTAAGAGAAATGGTTGTGTTAATTCTGTTTTTGCATGTTAATAGCATTGCACTTTGACTTTTGTTTTTTATTTTTACAGAAATAGTGAAAAATTGATTTTTTTCCATTTAAAAAAATGTCTTATTGACCTACTTTTTTTTTCAAAAGAGAAAAAGCTTGTATTCTTGACCTACTTTTCTTTGCTACAAATGGAATGTGTGTGTGTGTTTGCATGTTATTTTCTTAGTTTAACACCAGGTTGGGAGTTTTATTCACTCCAGGGGCAAATTTGGCATTTTTATTATTTTTTTGTTGTTATATATACAGGGGTAAAAATTCGGTGTGTTTTGTAAAATTTTACAAATTAGTTGATGGATCTACAACTTTGTTTTTTATAAAACGGGACAGAAATGAGATTTTTCTTGACATGATTGTGATTGTACTGTTATCATTTTTCTTGACAGAAATGTGAGATTTAGTATGAAATGTTTTGAAATAAGTCATTTACTACAAGAAATTCAAAGGTTTTTTGAGTGGGTTGTGAAATGCTTTATAAAACAAAGGTTTTGAATTGCGGTAGACATTGAATTTATTTGATGTTTATACATGTAAAGGGTATTATCATCAAATGGTCCATCTTACAAAAATACATGTTTACTTAGCGGTTCAAGTGTTGTCTTTAAAAATAAAAAAACCAAGAAGCGTGAATTATATATCATATCAAATTAAAAAATGATATGTGTTCATTATTTTTAATTATATTTGAATATCAAATGCATCGAAATTATAAAATTAGAATAGACAAATATGCCCTCCTTAATATTCACTCTTTTTTGATAAAAAAAATTATGTGCAAAGTAACTATTAACTTGAGAGAATTGGTAGCATAATTTTTTAAAGTTTAAAACATCAAAGAAGTTGGAATATATAAAAATCGTAATCTATCTTCCGTTTGTCGACTGTAAATGTAATTAATTTGATTGATAAAAAAAATGATTAAATGGATGTTTCTATTTATTGGATTTATCCATTTTGGGTTAAATGTGAGAAATAATAATTTCATAGAAGTGTTACTGGTATGTGTGTGTGGCTAAACAAAATGGCTTAGATTGAGTAAATTGAGATGCACAATTTATGATAATGTTTTTTTTTTACTTGCATTACTGATAAACATGTGCACTTGTTGAACAAATTGTTGTTTTTTTGGGTTGATAAAAGAAGAAATATTACAATGAATATCACCAAAGGGTTTATGTCCAAAATAAAGATACAAAAGAAAAAATCTTCAAAAATGGTCCCGGTTTCCAGGAATATCAAGTTCAGTCGGTATTTTTTTTTATAATTAATAATATCACCCCACATATTTTTCCAGCAGCCACAAAGAAACTATTGGCCGCTTGTCGCTTTTCACAAAAAATTAATTGTCTCTAGAAACTAATTTATGAAAGAATCTACTCGCACCCGTCGCTTGGCGCGGGTAAACGGCTAGTATATATATATATATATATATATATATATATATATATATATATATATATATATATATATGTTTGAAACCTTTTAATGTTAAATGCATGCGTTCAAAGATAAAATACTTATTGTGGACAATTTTTTTAGTTATTAACAATCCGGTGTGAATGATCATTTTTTTTTTTATGTTTTGACGTATTACACTAAACTTGAATCAAATAATTTTTAACATAACATCTAGTTTATTTTATTAAAAGTGATGCATCATACTTTTAATTTGAGCAAATTACACGAATGGTCCCTATGGTTTAGCATAATTTACATGTTTGGTCCCTAACTTATTTTTTTTAACTCGGAATGTCCCTACTGTTTGTTTTTGTTACGCGTTTGGTCCCTATCTTAACTAAAAAGACTATTTTGCCTTGATTTTTTAATTTATTAAAAATAAACAGACCCCCAACCCCACCCCCTCACCTTACCTTACCTACCCCACAATTTTTTCCTATTTAAATAATAGTCTTTTTAGGTAAGATAGGGACCAAACATGTAATAAAAACAAACAATAGGGACCAAGCACGTAACAAAAACAAATAGTAGGGACCTCCCGAGTTAAAAAATAAGTTAGGGACCAAACACGCAAATTACCCCAAACCATAGGGACCACTCGTGTAATTTACTCTTTTAATTTAAAAGAGATGCTAGAACATGTATTTTTTATAAGACATTGGGGTACCCTAAAACAAAATAAAGATTTCGTTATGAATTGTTGTAAACCCGATCAGATATCCGAAACCCGACAGGAAAACCCGAAACCCAATGGGGCGCCCCGATAAGATACCCGAAAGATATCGGGGCGGGTTTGGGAAACCATGCCCCGCCCCGAACCCGCCCCGTTGCCATTCCTAATCCATATGCTTCCTTCGTCGAACTCCTCTGATAAAATCACTAATCAGCTGACGAATATGTGAAATGATGTTATCGCGAAGATGATTCTTAATCACTAGTGTTTAGTGATTCTTAATCACTAGTGTTTAGTGATCATCTTTATCAGAAAAATATAAAATAATCAATATGATGGTCATTTTTTGTAAACTAAAAAAAAAGGATTTTTAAAATATTAATCCACTTTTTATCATGAATAACTCTTGCAATTTCTTTTGTCAAAGACTTAAACCGGGTAATTAAGCCCAATGGCCCATAAAGAACCCAACATCACGAATAAAATTACGACAATCGAGTGCCGACTGAATTCTGGAACTCAAACCGAAAAATATTCCCCAATATTTGAATTTAAAACCCTCAAGATTCGAATCTAACAAAAAATTTGAAACTTCAGTTTAAAATCCCAATCCCTCCTCTTTCTCAACGCATACCAGAGCTCCATCTGAACCCTAGATAATTAACTCCGATCAGCAAATTGAAATGGCAGTGGCGCCACCGGTCACCGGCAAGGAACTAATAAATCCTCCGTCTGACGGTATCTCCAACCTCCGATTCTCTCATCACTCCGATCACCTACTTGTGTCTTCTTGGGACAAAGTACGTATTTACTTCTCTCCACCTCCTTATCTACTTATTTAACTAGAATCGAAGCTAAAGAACTCATTCGCTTCATGTTTTCCTTTCCAAACTCCATCTGCCTAAAGAAATGTTCCTATATACGGTTTTCGTTTACGAAATTCTGAATCATATTTGAAGATTTTAACATAAAATGAAATGTGTAAGAAGTACCAGTTTTTTTTTTCCCGCTTATGATAAGATAAAAGATACATTTTGTTAGTCTGTATATGATTACAAGTGCAAATTGTAAACTGTAGTATCTTTAAAGTGTGTTAATGTTACTTATTTTGGATTTAGGGAGTACATATCCAAACATTAGAGCTTAACTCATAATTTCTTTCCCCAAAAGAGCCACATGATCTAGTAGACTTGTACTTTCCAACATTAAAGTCGATACCAAATTTATTGCAGATTTAAACTTCATGTAGCAAAATTTCTCCCTAAATCTTAACATTTACATCAATTTCAACTTTCAAGCATCAACTGCCATGCTCTTGGCAGCTCGGTTTAGGAATGGTTGAAGTATTATATTAGGATAGTGCTTGAATGAAACATATACAAAGTGTATTTGAATGTATCTAACTTTCTCTCTACACACATACATTCAAAGCTTAATTTATATCAGACTATTGGTGATCAAGATTCAAAGTTTATTCACAGACTGTTCGATTATATGATGCAAGCGAAAATGTATTGAGAGGAGAGTTTACACATGGAGGTGCAGTTCTTGATTGCTGCTTTCATGATGATAATTCTGGTTTCAGTGCAAGTGCTGATAATACTGTCAGGAGGTAAGCATGAATGTTATACTGAATTACATATGATATGAACCTATCATAATCATGGAAAAAGACACATTTTTTTTTACTATAATTTCTACTTGAATCTCAGACTTGTTTTCAACAATGAGAGGGAAGATGTTCTTGGACGCCATGATGCCCCTGTTCGATGCATTGAATACTCTTATGCAACAGGTATGCAACCTTCAGTAACATAATATGTTGAGTTTTCTTTGTTGATATGATCTAAAAAGTTAAAATCTAGTATCTTGTTTATGGTTTTAGGGCAAGTGATTACGGGTAGTTGGGATAAAACCCTGAAATGTTGGGATCCAAGAGGTGCTACTAGTGCACAAGAGCGTGCTCTAGTGGGAACATATGCTCAACCTGAACGTGTCTATTCTTTATCTCTTGTTGGAAATCGTGTAGTAGTTGCAACTGCTGGAAGACATGTTAATGTTTATGATTTGAGGAATATGTCTCAACCTGAACAACAAAGGGAATCTTCATTGAAATATCAAACAAGATGTGTCAGATGTTATCCCAATGGAACAGGTATTGCATATTTTACATGTTATATGGTAAGGGTATTTTGGTCTTTTAATAAAAAAGGATGGAATTGAAAAATATTGAATTCCTTCCTGTTCCACCCACCCTTAGGAATGAAAAAATCCATTGAAAATGGATTTTTGAAGGAATCTGACAGAATTGATTTTTGTCAATATACAGATGGAATGGAATCGTGAATTCCAATTCCAAACACCCTCTTATTTCCATTAAACAAAGATGTGATGATTTTTGTAATGTAGGTTATGCTCTTAGCTCTGTAGAAGGTCGAGTTGCAATGGAGTTTTTTGACCTTTCGCCAGCTGGCCAATCAAAAAAATATGCATTCAAATGTCACCGAAAATCAGAAGCTGGAAGAGACATTGTTTACCCTGTAAATGCCATTGCCTTTCACCCTGTGTAAGTTTGACTGTGTTGACTTACTCAATTCACATTGTATAATTATAAGTAGAGTAAATTACAAAAATGGTCCCTGAGTTTAGCTTAGTTTTTCAAAATTGGTCCCAAAAAATTCTCTTGCAATTTTGGTCTCAGGAGTTGCAAAGGAATTGAAAGAGAGCTTTTTGGGACCAAAATTGAAAAAATCAGCTATGCTCAAGGACCTAAAATGTAATTTATTCATATTCTCATAAATTAACGATTAAACACAAACATGCAGCTATGGGACATTTTGCAACAGGAGGTTGTGATGGTTTTGTCAATGTATGGGATGGAAACAACAAAAAGAGGCTCTATCAGGTATATATTTTTTTTTACCATAGGGTTAAAATTACAAGAATAGTAATGTACTTTAGTTAATTAATTTATTATAATTGGTTGCTTTTTCAAGGTACAGTGTCACAATAAAAGAAATTTGAAAAGTATAATACATAATTTAGTAGTTTTTTTTTGAAATTAAAATGGGTAGATTTTTTCAAAGTATAGTGTCTTAATAATTTTGTGGAAAGTAAAATGCTATAAGAAAAATAAACTTAATGAAAGTAAGATGCTACAATTTTAAACAAAGAAACGAAAATACATTGCTTTTTTTTTTGCTTTAGCCCTTTCACAATACACTAGTACATTCTCTAAACCTTTGATAGCCAAATTACGGTTTTACCCTTTTCAAGGTTCTTACTTTTTGGTGTATCTTCAGTATTCAAAGTACCCTACAAGCATTTGCGGCTTTATCATTTAGTAGAGATGGTCGACTATTGGCTGTTGCATCAAGTTATACATTCGAAGAGGGGGAGAAACCGTAAGATCCTATTTTTTCTATCTTCATATCCTTTTTTGTAAAAGTGTTGAGTGGGCCCACATAGTCACATCATCATGTCAGATGTAAATCAGGTATACAGGGGCCCACACACAGTCTCATCAACATCATGTGAGATATAAATAAAGTACACATGAGGCCACTAGGTGGCTCACATAGTCTCTCATGTGAGATGTAAATCATGTACACAGGAGCACTCAAACTGTGTTTTTGCATAAAATCTATTCAATTTATATTTATTATTTGTTTTTTTTGCAGACATGAACCGGATGCTATATTTGTTCGTAGTGTGAATGAAGTTGAAGTGAAGCCTAAACCTAAGCAATACCCAAATCCCGCCACGTAAGTGGAAAAAACATTATAAAAAGGTTGGTTTGTTAAATACTAGGTTTAAATATGTTTTTAGTTACTATGTACTAAGATTGTTTCCTTGTTTGAATGTTAACTAGTCATCCTATTGAGCAAAATATATTTGCAAAATGATGGTGAAGTGCATTTATAATATAAAGCTATTAACTATGGTTGATACTTGTGTGAAATTGCTTATTATGTAAGTTTGGAATTGTGTATGATGCTATGCATCTATGGAAGAATTAGAATTTGTTAAAAGTATTGAATTGTGTCATGTGTTTTGGTGGTGAGAGATGGAATAAAATTTAAATTCGTTCATTTTTTTATAAAAAAAAAATCGAATTCTATTATTTTATAGAAGGAAAGTTAAATTCCTTTATTGCTAATAATTACAACCACTTCACTTATTAATCAGTCACCTTAAGTTAGCTTTTTACTCTACGAAGTAGAGATCAAATAAAAAGATTTAACTAAAAATAACAAATATGATCCGGTTTTAATAAATAAATAATATTCATTTCTGACACATTACAAGATACATCTTCAACCACATGTTTTGAGGTCTCTACATCATGGGAATAAAGTTGGAATCACGTCCAAAATTAATGGCTAAACCTACGTAATAAGTTACTTGAAATACCGATGTGCAACATCCATCCACGTTGTACCAAACTTTTACGTGTTCCAATAATTTATTCCTTGATTGCTCCTAGTTTTTGGTTGGTTAACAACATTATCTTTTTGCCTAAAAGGAACAGCCATAAGTGTTCGACAAATGGCTTCTAAAATTTTCGGACCATACCAAACGATAACTGTTTGGTCATGAAATTAGTGGTAGTGAAGTATTGAACTACATATTTAATAAAAGATGTGGGTATTGGTTGGCAAAAACAACTAGTAGTATAGGTAGCTGATCACAGAAGATGAAACTGAAAAATAAAAATTATAGCTTTTATTTATGTATAAAAAAACCTTTTTGTAAAATTATATAAACATAAAAGCAAAAAACTAAAAACTCTTATGTGGAGTAGCTTTGTCTTTTGAAACAGAAAATTTAAATTCGTTCTTTCCAACAAAGTTATTTTTATTAATTCAAGTTTTTAAAAAACTGAAAACTAAACGTTTATTTTTTTTAGAACAATAAATCTAACTTACTCCTACATTACTCCTAATTCCTAAACACCTTACTTGTTTGGAACCCAAGACCATTTTGGATTTATCTATAAAAGGAAAGGAAAGCCTACTCAACAAGTATATAATGTAGCATGAGCATGCTCCTTCTAGATGTTGAATAGGCGGAGACACCTTCCTTCGAAATCACAAAACCATGACTCCATGAGATGGCAAGTTGTTTTGGTTTGACTAGAAAAGTTGACTTGATTGGAATAGCAAGATGTCATAACATTGAATCGTATGATTGCAAAAAAATATAGATAAATTGCTAAACTAACCATATATTTAAGCAAGTACTTGTGAGACCCATTTATTATATGGGTTAATTTAAAAAGTATATATATAAATGTCAAAATATTTGAGAACTTTGAATTTATAAGAAAATAAGAAAATAATGAATTATTATAATTGAAATATTTTTTATCTTTTAAATTTAAACAAATAATTTAAATAAATAAACAAAAGAAACTAATGAACTTTAATTTGAAAATTTTGAAATTAAAAAGTAAGTTCATTAATGAAATTGATATCCATTTATTACTACATTTATTGCAATTATTACATTAAAATATTATGTGGAATTTAATAAAATAGAAAAACTCATAAAATGACATGTGGAAAAAAAATTAATTCAAAATAAACACAAAATGATATTTGACAATTTGAATAAGAGTATGACATGTGGTAAAAAAACCTTTATTTATTAGAGTAGATTTTTTTTTAAAAAAGAACTATTTATTTATTTTTTGCAAACTAATCAACTACTTTGGAATGGGGCATTTTTGGAGTATACGAAAATGGGCCAAGTCCCAATGGCAGATGCAGAACCTTTGAATAATGGTGACACCAAAAAAATAATAGCGACACTCATATTTCGAAGATGTTGCACCTAATAGAAACAAATTACACTATGAGGCTAAATCAAAATAGTGGCCCGGGACCCCCCCCCCCCCCCCCCCCCCGACACTACATAGGTCCGCCACATCCAAGTCCATTACTGAGGTCCAATCCTATATATTGGGTCCACATGTACCGGAATGTCATTCTGAAAATCCGAAAAATATTATAAACCCAAACTTTGAAGTTTTTTCTAATTTTAACCACGGATTCCACAAATACTGTTAGTTTTACAAATTACTCTACTTAGGTTTTTGTGAATATGTGTAAAGATGCCGTCTAGAATACGAAGAGCATCTCCGAAATGCGTAAAACATGTCCGACATTTCATATATCATGTACTTTTTTTTTGTTAGATTGGTCACTAGTGTTATTGTTGACTTGTTCGTAGTCTAAACACCCTTAGAAATACACCCTGAAATATCAATTAATATACATAATGTTTGGAAATGATTTTTGGAGGGAAGAACTAGTCTGAAATGTGAAGAACTATTTAGGAACGCGACGGTCTGGAATGGGATGTTATGTTTTGGAAAGCCAAGAAATGCCCGAAATAACTAATACTTTTTTCCATACTGTTGTATCTTTTTTACTTAATAACTAATGATGATTTGCATAAAACCAATTTTTCTGAATAATTCTGAAATTAGAAGCAGGGGTTTGAATGAGTAAGTAGGTACCCCCGATCAATTTGTGTGAGTTTTACAGATAACAAGATTATAAACCATCTACAAGAACCATCTGAATTAGAGCCGATTAAGGTAAGTCGTGATTTAAACACTTCCATTATATTCCTATTTTATGATACTAAAAGTATAAATTTTTATTTGCATAGACAAATACCGAATGTGGAAATATAAAAAAAAAATCACACCAACACCCACCCAAGTTAAACAAGTAAATAACACGGAATTCAAAAGAGTTGTTAAAGCTTAAACTGAAAGTTGATAGAACTCTCAAACACGAGAGATGATCAATGTAACATCCCGAAATCATGTATATTCTGTTATCTCTTGAATCTCTATCAAAAGTGGCACATTTGGTCCCTTAAAGAAAAAGGCTCGCATAATTGGTCGTACGCAGGGCGTACGTATGAGTACGCACAATGTACTCACGCAGTGTGAATGATCGATGATGGACAACTAATATGTTGGGCGTACGTGTGGTATGTCGGGCGTACTAGCCCATATGTCAAACCATGATTTTAAGGGTTGCCCGCTATTTAAAGAACATTGTTTCTTCATTTTGAGCATCCTTATCAGCCTCCAAACCCTCTCTAAAACCCTAATACCGAGTTGTGTCCTTGTGTGAGCTTTTGCAAGTTTTTAAGTGTTCTTGGTGCTTGTAGTGGAAGAAGGAAGCTGGAGAATAAGGAGTGGGTGCTAACAAGCTTGTAGATCCAGAAACCTTCCCTCCTTGTACATCATTTTCAGGTATAAAGTTTATACCTTGGCAAGCCTTTCTTTAGATCTCCATGTTTGAAGTTTTATGAACTTTTGTCACCAAGATTGGACCTTCATGAGTTTGGAGCACTCCAGGGAATTGTAGTTATCCTTTCATGCATTTTAGGGCCTTTAGATTCATAAAAATGGTTCCTTGATCATTCCCTTTGGTTCATGCATGAGTAAAGTAGCTTAGAGTGCATTAGAAGCTAAAGATTGTTGCATTGGGTCCTTCATAGCCATGCAAAGGCTTAAAGCCAATGAATTTATGGATTAAGACATCTAGGGGCGGGACTTGACCATTATGACTAGGGGGCCGAAACCAAAACATCAAAAGAAATTTATATAAACTATTTTTTATACCGGTTTAAAAACACTTCAACAATATATTGTTTATTTATGTTGATGCGCAATAATACATAACAAAATTAATTAACAAAAGTTTTCAACTGTTATATTCTAAACGTATATTTATAATGTCATAACAAATTGTTTTATTTATTTGCTATTGTACCTTGACAACTTGTTTTGATGATAAAAAGAAAACACAATTGTAATAGATTTTAGTGAT